ATAAATCTTAAAAAAAAAAAAAAAGAAACTAAAGCCACTTAAGCATGAGTTCAGTCCCCACCCTGGAGGTGACCTCATGGCACAGCAGATCTCTCCTGACCTGCCAAATACTCTTCTCAGCAGTATGCTTCGTCAGTTGACCTGTTCTGCTCCCCACTCTGTCTCTGGTGTATGTTCTCACCACCCCTGGACCTCTGGCCTATACCCCAGTTTTGCATGCATAAATAAATAAATCTTTTAAAAAAAGAAAGTCACGTAAGCCTGCTTTTACCTCTTCAGAGTCTAGTCCCTTGAGGAAAAGGATCTGATGTGATCCAGCTCTTTGCCCCTCACTAAGAGCCTCACAGGGTCTGTGTAGAGAGACTGCTAAATGACCACCAAGTTGGTTTCCTCTACTTCTTGGTACATAGGTAGACCAGGCTTCCTAGTGAACTGGGCAGTTGTGGGTCCTCTGACTGAGATCTAGTCAGTCTCCTACATAAAGACAATTGTCTTCCAGGACTCTGGTGTTACTTCCAGGTTTCCACAGAAACCTTCACCTACTACCTCCATGCCTATAAGTCTTTTGTATACTCATAGCAACATTGAACGTCACTTGCTGAAGATGGTAGGAGCAGAATCACTGCTTGGCAGAGACCATCCCCATTACTGGCATCATTATCACTTACTCAGAACCATACTTCTGCTATGTTTAGCCACTGAAAATTGTCATGGTACCTATAGCTGCCTACTTATCATAACAAACAGTCTTGCCCATGCAGGCATTCAACATTGGTTTCAAAATAGATAGTTGTAGTGAGGTTCTAGTGGTCAATAGAGAAAGCAATAAGCTTCAATAAGGTGTCCAAATATAGATCAGTTTTCCTTTTAGGGAAACTTCCTACCAAGTAGGAGGTGGAGGCTTTGTTTGAATACATTCCACATATCCTTTGTCTCTTCATTTCATAAGCCTCATGGATACACCCTCCCCTGTACCCCACATAACCCCATGCCCTTCACCTCTCCAGAATCAGAGTAGAGTTCTGGAGAAAATAGGGTTGGAGGTAATATTTCCTGGTAGAAATAATCTAAACACAAGAGCCCTGACTTTGAGTCCTGCCAAGAAAAAGGATCTGCCATTTTTATTTTCACTGAGTAGCATTAAGCTATTCATTTCTTCCAATGTACTTGTAATTGTGATTTTTAGAATACCTTATTTTTTATTTTTTATTTGTACAGGGCAAAAAAAAATCCTCAGTAGGGAAGAGCTAAAGTCTTGGGTTGGACAAGTAGAAAGAGGAGACACAGTCCTTTCGATGTCTAGAGATAGACCTAGCTAGCTGTGTGTATCTGCCACTCAAAGGATGGAGGATGGATCAACCAGTCTGACATGATGTACAAGTGCATCACAGCTTGGCACTCCTCTGGTTACATCCATCGTCATGATCTAACACTCCTATTTTTCCTTTTATTCTCAAATCTTAATTTAATTTCCCTTCATACACCCAATAGGCTATATTTTCTCATTTGGGGGGAACCTTGTAACAAACTCTGCTCTGTTCTCTGGCCTGATATATGCTCACTGCCTTCCATTAGCTCCCACTCCCCCTACCGGGCTAACTTCTGTCCTCCTTGGTGTTTCAGCTTAGTGTTCACTTTGTGACACTGCCCTTAGCCCAATTAAGTCTGAGTTTGAGGTCCTTCCTATTTAAGATTTTCTTTACTTGTCTGTCTTTCTCAAGCAACTGTAAACTCCCTTAGGGTAAAGGCTGTGTCTTCTTTCACCCTTGTATCCCTGTGACCAAGAATAATGTCTGTACTAAGCATATTTGCTGAGGCAAAGCCCAGTAGAGTTGCTATGAATGTTCTATTTTGTATCTTTTGGCTACAGAAACCCCAAACAAAAGGGACTTATTAACAGCATTTTATTATCTGTTTAACAAGGTGTATAGAGCAAGGTAGTCCCTGACTAGTTTTGTGGCCCAGTGGTATGATAAGGATTTAAACTCTTGTATGTTTGATCCCTATTTGTTAGCAGAGGGATTTTCATTCTTCTTGTGATCAAAATATGGATGCCATGCTCCGGGCATTACATCCTCACACAATTCAAAGGAAAGGAGAAAAGAGAGGATATAAAAAGGACTTCTGTCTTTTCACCAATAGGATAATCTTTGCCAGAGGATTTTTGTTCCCCCATCTGATTTTCCTTTGTATTTTGTTGTTGAGAACTGGGGTACAAGCCTACTTTTATACAAATCATGACTCATAATCATACTTTAGCTGCATCCTGCTGTTGAATAAAATTAGGTATCCTTTTGATTAAAAATATGAGTGAAAAATTGATGGGGAAGAACTGACTGATGACTGACCCTCGTCTTTAATTAGATTTCATTAAAATCTAGGACTTCTTTTACCAATTCTTAGCTCTACTTTAGCCTTATGCTACTTAAAATGCAACATTTCTGATGACATAATATTCTTAAGCATGGCTATCTCAGTAAACTTTCTGTCCTGAAAAGTTGTAATTGTCTATTTATTCTCATCAGATACTTTCTCCAGGGCGAGAAGGACATTGACCTTTCCTGAACTCCAAGAAGGGTGCTTGTATTCTCTCAAGGCCTCTGAAGACTATCTCAGGCAACGAAAAGAGTCAAGTATTATCCTCTAGTAATCTTCATTCTTATTACATTTCGTTCATGGCCTGAGTGGCAAAGATTTGTTCGGTGGGCTAGATTCAATAAGAACATAGTAAAAGCATAAAAGTTGTTAGCATGAACAAATTAACAACCTCCTGAGTGGATTGCAGTGAATCTATTTTTGATAAAAATATCAAATTTAGATGTCATAATTCAATGTGGAAATGTAGATGATCTTCATAATATCCAAAACATTCCAGCTCCTTTTCTCCCCCAGTGATTTATTTATCTAGAACATCTTAATTAAAAAGGAAAAATAATTAAATTATTATTTTTTTAACTTTGTATTGAAGTACTTTACAGGGCCACCCCAATGTGAAAATGGTTGGCCTGACCACCGGTCCTCATCTGTGCATTTACAAGGGATTTATAATGAGACTCAACTGTGGGTACAAACAAAAAGGGGTGATAAAGGGCTTATTTACAAAAAGGGGAAATGAAGAAATTAATAAGGAGAGAGAGGGAGGGAAATTGGTGAACACGTCCAACAAGTTCTGCTGAGCTGGGCCCTCATGGCCCACTGAAAGCTGGCAAAGAGCCCAGCACGTCCACGGCCCACATGATTGGTCATATGCCAGATCTGGCTGCTACCCTCTGGTGGTTATGGGATTGTAGTCCTTGATGTTGGATCTCTTCCACATGAGGTAGAAGGGGGGTCCATAAAACTTGTTTGTGTAGCTTGTTCAGGACATCTCGGCCCCCAAGAGTATCACTGGTTTGCACCATCGTTAGTGACTTGGAAGTTATAGGTTCTTCCCCTCCAGGTGTAGTCACCTGACACACCCGCCACCATCTCACTCCCAGCTCTCCATACTCCTCCACATCCTTTGGAAACAAACTATTTTTATAGCTGAGTTTTAAAAAGTTTTTCTTGATTAGTGTGATGATGATAATGATGATGATTTCTCTCTTATTAAGTGTAATGAGCATTATAGTTTACGTTTTATAAATATCAGCTTAGATCTTAGATGTCAACTCAAAAATAATTCTTGCTGTTTTACATATTAGAACCTGAAATTCAGGTTTTCAGTGATTTGTGCAGGGTCATCAGTAGAGTAAGGGTTAAAACTCAGATTTTTTTTTCTTTCTTTTTTTTTTAAAGATTTATTTATTTGTACATGCAAGAACTGGGGTACAAGCCAGACATGGGGTGTATGAGAGGATTCACCAGAGACAGAGTGGGGAGCAGAACAGGCAGATTGACTAAAATACACTGCTGAGGGGAGCAGCAGGTAAGACAGGAGAGGTCTTGTAACCGGTACAGGTTTCATGAACTCCTCCCCACCCCCCCCACTCCAGATACTGGAACTACTAATCCCATCAATAACAAAGAGGTATTGGGTTGTGAGGGTGGAGCTGAGCAGCCAGGTTAGGATAAAACTGAACATGTGGGGTCTGGGGGCACTTGGCCTGGTGGTTCGCAGCTGGTCGTTTTGGCTCTCGATAGGTTTTCAGCATGCTGGCGGAGTCCAAGTCAGCAGAACTGGTAGGACATCCTAGCTTAACTTGTATTTTTCTCCCTTTTTCCTTGGGTTATTCCTTTACCTTTCTCCTTGTAAATAAATCCATTGTTGAACCTTTTTGAGTGTGTCCATAGTACAATTGAATTATAAGCATGCAGGTGAGGACCCACAGACAGGCAACCCAATTCACATTGGGGTGCCCTGTAACAGACTGACACACCATGTGGGTCACCTCCCTGGCCGGGGATCGAACTGGAGCTGCAGTGGTTGTGTATAGCTTCATAGTGCTGTGCTTTAACCTGTTGCACCACCAGAGAGGACCCTAGAACTCAGATTTTTCTGATTCTGAAATGAGACCTACATTCTTGATTAGGAACCAAACTTCTTTTCTTCAATTCTAATTGTACCCCAATTTGTCTACTGCTTTCCCAAAGTCCACTGATGTTTTTTTTCCATCACTCACTGGTTTATACTTTTGTCTAAGATTTTTTTTTTTTAAAGATTTATTTATTTGTGCATACAGAACTGGGGTGCAGGCCAGAGGTGCAGGGGCGGTGAGAGGCTTCACCAGAGACAGAGTGGGGAACAGAACAGGAAGATCCACGAAGTACACTGCTGAGGGGAGCAGCGGGCGGGTCAGGAGAGGTCTGCCACGCCATGTGGTCACCTCCGGGGCAGGCAGGAATCGAACTCATGCGGAAGTGGCCCCAGCTTCTTAGTGCTGTGCTTTAACCCGCTGCGCCACCAGGGAGGGCCTGTCTAAGATTTTTAACAAAGTGTCCATTCCCATTCATTGGCCAAGACATTTATGTACAGCAAATGGAATTATTTATCTTCCCAGTTCAACAACTTGAGTCTTGATACTCTCACAAATAACTCAGCAACTAAGTGCTAAGAAGGAAAAAAACAACCCTCAAGAAGTAGAGAGATTAACAGACCAATCCTGTGGCTCAGAAAAGTATTTCCTCTCTCCCCTTTGTTATCCTAAAATGTGAGGTGTGTGCTAAGAGATTTAAAGAACACCCAAGAACAGCAATGACAAATAGCAGCTGTTCTGAGCTTGCCTAGCCCCAGGGTTTTGAAATTTACCCTTTGAGTCAGGAGGGACCCTAATGCTCACACTTCTGCTTTAGATGGAGGAGCAAAGTAAGAAGGATCATCGGGCTTTGCTGAACCCTGGAGAAGAGAATGAGCTGGTGAGTCTTTCTTTTTATTCTTTTCTAAAAGTGTCCAGGCTATTGGCAGGAGCTACTGGGATGGTGCTGGCTTCCGGACCTGGAAAGGTCTAAGTTTGATAAGGCTTTTTTTGAGAGCCGCAAGACATTATTTTATAGTGAGTGTGTCTGCAGGGACTGGGAAAGTGTGTCTTCTAGACGATGCCATCCTCATATACCACAGACCGTGTGAAGCTTCCTCCTCAGACATTAGCTGAGTAATTAGGGTACTCACGCATGTGCTTATAGAGGTGTTCCTCCCCCTTCCTCTGATTTGCTCTCTGAAAACACAAAAAGTTGTGTTCTAAATTTAGCATATATTTAAAAGTGATAATTTCTCTAATTCTTTTTCCCACTGTCTTCTCCACCAAACATATATAAATGTTGAAAAATAAGCATTAATAATTAACAGTGCTCATTTAGTGCTAATGAATTTACATTTAGTATTGTATAGGCTCCTCAGAATTGAGTGGTGAAAAAATTAGTCCTGTTTACCTAGAAAAGAAATATGAGACGGTGCCCAAGGTCACAAGCTGGGAATCTATCAATAGCCCACTCCTTTCCTTACCATACCCTTTGATGTTCATGCTACAGCAGGGTCTTAGCGAAGCTATGAGAAAGGTGGACAAAAGGGAGGACAGGGCAGAGGCCACACTGGAGGGCAGAAGACTGCCCAGCCAAGGAGAATATGACTCAGATATCAGAAGGGTGTCAATTTCCCTGCCTGGCTTCCTTGTTCCCTGGGAGAGCTGTGGGAAACCTATACCTGGCCTCTCCCCACCTACCCTCATTTATTAACCTGGTAAGACACGTGCATTCCCCTGCATCTGCAGTGCCCCATAAGGCTGCCACTGGCCCTTATGGTTTTTGAGCACTAGAAAATTATCCAGTCCAAACTGGAATGTGCTATTGCTATATGTATAATATATACCCCAGATTTTGAAGATTTGTTTAAAAGAAGTGCAAAAGATTTCATTAGTCATCTTTATATTGGTACACATTGAAATAACAATGTTTTGGAATCATGGGTTAAATAAAATAGGTTATAAAAATTAATTTCTCCTGCTTTTGAAGCTTTTCAGTGTGGCTGCTAGGGAATTTAAATTATAAATGCTGCTGACATGGTGACTGGTATTATTGTACCATGCTGATCTTGACAATGGCACAGTGATTTAAGATTTTAAGATGAAAGGTACTGAAAGAATTAAAATTTACTCACATGTGTTCACTGCTGACCAACTCTGCCAGCTCTGAAACTGTTTTTCAGTATGTAGTGAGTGTTCATGAAAATCTTCTGTGGCTATTTACTTTTCTCTGAGTAGGGGTGGTATTCGTAAAGTTGGTAGCTTACTATTTGAACTCTCTTAATCACAGAGGTTGACAGAAGTACCAAAGGGTTAGAGAACTGGCTCAATGCCACATATCCTTCCTATCTGGAGCCACCACTCCTAGAGACATCCACTAAAAACTGTTCAAATCCTGTTATCCTCAGCGTCTGTGGTCAGAGTTCATGGGCTGGCTGTAGGTTTCTCCTTCACACAAGTTTTGTGTGAGCCAGGGCAGAGAGCAGATGCAAACCTCAGGCTGGTCTAGAGACTTGTAGTGGGGAGACCTTGCGGGAGCCAGCTCCTGAGCAGGCTGGCTGACTGGGGGCGGCTATCTGAACTGCAGTTATTCCCCTCCATAAGTCAACAGGCCAGTGCTGTTAGGGCTTTCTAAAAGGGAACTCAGATCTGTTGTGTATGTGAAACAGACATTTTAGAAGCAAATTGTCTCTTTAAAAATAGTCAGTAAAGTGAACTAAAGCTGGGTTCACTCTAGTCCTAGCCTGTGGGGATTTCAGTCTGAGACTTTTTTTAAAGATTTATTTTACTTGTTCATACAGAACTGGGGTACAGGCCAGAGGCTCAGAGGTGGCGAGAGGCTTCACCAGAGACAGAGGGGGGAGCAGAACAGGCAGATCTACGAAGTACACTGCTGAGGGGAGCAGCGGGCGTGTCAGGAGAGGTCTGCCACGCCATGTGGTCACCTCTGGGGCAGGCGGGGATCGAACTCATGTGGAAGTGGCTTAAGCTTCTCAGTGCTGTGCTTTAACCCACTGAGCCACCAGGGAGGGCCTAGTCTGAGACTTTTATAGTCTTTTCCCTCTTGCTCTTCTTTTCCTAAAGTTTTCCAATGGCCTAAGCTGACTTCTATTTAATTTCTTCATTTCAATCATCACTTGAGATTGTGTGAGAGGATCTGAGGAAAAAACTACGCACTGGGCCATCCTGGTGACGCAAGAAGTTAAGTCTTAGAACTATGATGCTACCCACAGACACCACAACATGAGTTCAATCCCAGTCCAGGGAGGTGACCCACATGGTACAACAGACCTCTCCTGTTTTGCCTCCACTCCCCACAGCAGTGTATTTCAGTTAATCCACCTGTTCTGCTACCTACCCTATCTCTGGTGAATCCTCTCACCCCCTGAACTTCTGGTCTGTATCCTCATCTTGTATGCATAAATAAATAAATCTTTTTTTGAAAAAGGAAAAACACAGAACTATACAGTGTTAGAACAAATAACAACTTTCTTCAATCAAACACCCACAAAGAGCTTAATTTAGGGAGGGCCTATGAGATTATATAAGTGCAGTCTTAGTTCCTTTTGCTGAACTCAGGATCATTGAAACTTTATAGCAGCTTGGGCATGGCCCTTGTTGTCATTCCTGTTTCCTGTTCTCCAGCAGCCCTAACTTCTGGGAGGGGGAAGCAGCTAATATAACACAGGGCAAGGTCGTAGGCACGCGGTGAACAACCTCACTTCACCCTCACAACGGCATGTCACAGATGCCCTCACTAGGAAGCCTTTCCTTGTTCTTCCCAACTTTCCCCCACTACCCCCCACCCTCCACTGTGACATAGCTCTAATAGGCTCCTTATTCTTGACCTGTCTTTCTCCCAAGTGTGTTTCTTTTCTCCTGCGCAAGGGTTACATCAGCCCTGCCAATTGCAGTGAGCTTCTCTTGTATCTTTGAGGCCCTCTTGGGAGCTTCCTCTTCCCTGTGAGCTCTCACATTTGGAGGGCTGATGGTGAGCCAGGAGCCCTCAGGCAGTGTAGCCTAAGCAATGGGACTTGAACTCTGGTCCTGATGAGTAATTTATTTCACATTTTTGAGTTATTTCTGAAATCTGTAAGATATCTACCATTCCAAATTGTGGTGATTAGTAATTGAGTAACATAGCTTTTTCACAAATATGTCTATCCAACAATATTGTTAATACATATTATATTAAAAAGTTTTCTTTGAATTAAATTTGAGAATACTAGGTGATGCAGGTAAGCAGATAGCTGCAGGGCCTCTCAGAGCCTTTAAATAGATCGTGATCTTTGTGAGTCTTCCAATACAGTCTATTTGCCACACTTTCATGTCCTTGGAATCTTTGTGTGTGTGTGTGTGTGTGTGTATACATGCATGACTAGTGTTCTGAAGAACCACAGTAGGGAAGGCTGGATGCTCACAATGAACAATAGGCCATTTTATCCTCATTACCAGCTGGTGATATTCAATGCCGACCTCAGTTTCCTTCAGCCAATAAAACGAAACAGAGTTTGAGGAAAACTAAAGTGGTTTAATTTGTCAACAAACGAAGAGAGCAGCAGACTCATATCTGAAAGTCCACCATCCTCCTCTTTGGCAGGGTGCAGGGTTATTGATAAAAGGGAAAAAAGGTGAAGGGGGGATGGGGAGGTGGGCAAGGGTCTGCATAGGGGAGGGGGAAGAGTTGGCTCAGAGACAGGTGGGCACCAACTTGCTTTTTCCAACTGCTGCTTAGCTCCCTTTCCTTGGAATGTAAGAAGTCAAACCTGCAAACAATGGAGGCCTTGCAAGAGTAGGGGAAGACAAACTTGTTAATGCTTACCTGAGAGACCACTCATTTGTAACTCCTCACTGGGAGTAAAATGTCATTATAAGCACACGTGGTGGCTCCACTGTGTGCTTACCTGCCTCTCTTTCCACGTCCTCTCTGGTCAAACCTCATTTACTTTTGAGAGGTGGTCTTGATTCTGTCCTGAGACAAAAATCTGCTTTATTCATATCAGTTGGCCAAGTCCCGTCATTTTCTTCATGCTGCCCCAATGTACAAACACTCACTAACTAGGTATCAAAACTAGAGGTGGGAAGAGCCCTAGAAGCAAAGTATCTGGTTGGCTGCACGTGAAGATTCGATTGGCAGCTCTTCACTCTTGGCCTCTGGATGTGGAGGAGGAGCATGGATGTAAGGCAGCCTATCTGGGCTTTGGCGAAAACTCCACACTAACCACAACTGTGGCTGTGGACACCATTTTGGATCTGTGGCTACCTGAGAATACCATCCCTTATCTGTCCTGACTCACTCTGTGAGGATCACCTTCCAAAATTACAAAAGTGCTATGAAATTATAAAGGGGGTCATATTCACAGACCAAAGAATTAGGAGTTGTGAGATGCAAATCTGAAATATGTAACTTTTCAAATATACTGTGTGAAATTGATGCTGAGAAAATTTCCCTTTTCTCCGATTAAAGACTTGGGGAAGCAATACTTGTTTGAGGTTTGTTGCTATTTGTTTTTAATAAAGACATTACGTGATGAGTTGCTGAAGTCAGGACTTTTTAACTCCTGAATTATTTTATGTTATCATGGGCTCATCTTCCCTAAACTAGTAGCAGCAATCACCAAACACTCAAAGAACTATTACAATTGAATATTAAAAATCATTTCTTACTGGCTCTCTCGAATCTTCTGTCAACATTTATATGCACAGCTTGTGTGAAGGCAAGTTTATCACCCTGCAAGTTTATCTACCTTGTTATAAGGGATCGATAACAACATAAGTGACAGAGTTAAGATTCAAATAGCTCTCTGGGCTATATTGTGAGAGAAAACTTTGCAAAATGCAGTATAATGGTCCATAGTATTGGATTTTTATTTTAAGTCGTTATCACAATACAAGGTG